GGGAGATGTAGTCCGGCCACCGCCCCAGACGCCGCACCAGGCGGAGGCCGGGCCTCGTAGGACTACAACGTCCACAATGCACCGCTCGCCGGAAGTCCGCCCCGAGGCCGCCTGGGAAGCGCGGGCCCAGACCGACGGCGCGGAGGGTCCACTTCCAGATTAGACTTCGCGCGGTCCCCGGCTCCTGGGGAGCTTCTCCCGCTTCGTCCCTCCAAGTTCTCCGGGGGCTAGACAGACGCGGTCCCCGGCGTCCCCGCCGGAAGGCTGTTGGCAGGGAGGGTCTAGAAGAGCGAAGAGGGCGAACTTAACGTGCGACCTCTGCTGAGAGACCGGGCTCCGCGGTGGAGAAAAGCCCGTTTTCGTGGGGCCCCGCGCACACCCTCTCCTGTCCCGCGCTGAGCCGTCGGCGAAGCCAGGTGGTGGCCCGTCACCCTCGACGGGAGCCTGCCTGGGCGCTGCCGTGAAGAGTCAGACCAGGGACTGGTTCGGGGGAATCCCTTGCAGTTCGTGAACATGTAGTCCCTCTCCTGCTTTCCGCAGACAGCGTTACTGGACGTGGTAGTTTGTCCCGTAAATATCTGAGGAACTCTTACGCCGAAATCTACTTCAGATTCAGAGACGGGCCGCACTCGCTGGGGGCATCACTGACCGGTGCCGCCACCACTGTGGCCTGAGCGCCACCAGAAGCCCTCCTGTGGTGGCTTTCCCTTCCTCCTGTCTGCTGAACCTCGCCAGTGCCTCCCGTCGGCAGGAGGGTCTGGGAAAGGCAGTCTAGGGGCTCTCGCTCTGACCGCTGGGAAGAGTTACAACAACATGGATGGACTTGGAGGGCACTATGCTTAGTGAAATGTCAGACAGAAAGACAAAGTGTGGTATCACTTATGTGTGGAATTTTAAGAAGACAACAAACTATAATGACTATAACAGAAGCAGACTCACAGACAAGAGAACAAACCAGTGGTTACCAGTGGAGAGAGGGAAGTGGGGAGGGGCAACATCGGGGCAGGGGATTAAGGAGCACAAACTACTATGTGTAAAATAATCTGCAAGGAAAGATTGTACAGCACAGGGACTATGGCCAGTATCTTGTAAGTGGAGTATAACCTTTAAAATTGTGAATCACTGTGTTGTATACCTGAAACTTACATAATATTGTATGTCAACTATACCTCAAAAAAAAAAAAAAAAAGAAAGAAAGGAAAAAAGCTCCTTTTACCAAAGGCTGTGTGCTCTGCATGATCCTCTGTCATGCTCTTCTCCATCGGTGCATCCTGGCGCCCACACACACCTGCTCAGACGTCTGGACACTCCATGTGTACGTGTACGTATGTGCATATACATGCACTGAAATTTCAGGAGCCAGAATCCCGGTGGTCTTCTACTGTTTCAGAAAGCACTGTCCATGTGCACGGAGTCCTAGGGGAGGGCTTCCTCTAGAGGACGAGCTGGGTCCAAAAGTGTGGGCAGTGTTTTTTTTTAAGGACAAGTTGAACATCTTTTAATATTCTTTTTTTAAAATTGCAAAATGTAGCACACTCACAGAGAATTATATAAAACATTTGTCCAGTAAAATGAATCGTTATGAATGAATCTCCAATAACCAACAAGTAAACCAGAAGAGAAAACAGACCCCCACCTTCGACCATCCCCACTCAGGGCACGTCGTTTGATTGTGTTGCCAAACTGCTCCAAGCTCCCACCAGCAACATTATATGGGGGGGTCAGGTAAGGAAGCATCAGCCTTTCTTCCTGTCTGGAATATGGATGTGATATCTGGAGGGGCAGCAGACATTTTGTGACCACAAGGCAACAAGCATGAGGGCAAAAACCAAAGCTAAGGATGATACAGGGAGGAGATGAAAAGACCCTTCAGTGACATCTTCACACCTTGGCAAAGCCTGGACCTTCCTCCTCTAGACTTCATGATGTGTAAGGTAATGAAATGTCACTACAAGTTGGGTTTTTCTGGCATCTGACCACATGTCTAACTAAAACATAGCTACGTGACAAGGAAGATTAAACAATAACAATATCTGGTGGAGGAATGTCTCAGGTAGAGGGCACAGCAAGTGCAAAGGCCCTGAGGCAGGAACAGGATGTGAAGAGCAGAAAGGAAGTGAGAGCAGCTGATGTGTGATGACCCGGAGGGACATTGGTGAATAGGGGCTGTCCCTTGGAACCACTCTGTCCTGGAATCTGCCCTGACCCCTCACCTGCCTTCACGCCCCCAGCCCCCACCGGCCAGTCATTTCCCCACACTCCAGCCACAGTAATTCTTTTAAAACAAACATGACCATGACACTTCCCTGCTAAAACCCTTCAGTGACTCCCTGTAACCCTCAGCAGAGAGTTTGAATGCCCCCCCACCAGTCCTATGTAGAGTCGAGGTGTCATCAGCCTGACAAATGACACGCGAGGCTCCGAGGCAGACACAACACATGAAGCGCCCCTCAGCACCAGAGCCAGGGACCTGGGCACCAGTCCCCTGCCTCTGTCACTCTGCTTCCAGCGGTGGGGGAGGAGGGCTGGGAGGGGAGGCGCCACCTTTGGAAAGCCTC